GCATTGCATGACACGGGTACACTTACCTACATGCAGGCATAAAACTCATACACATAAAATTTAAAAAAATAAATAAATAATACATAATTACATTGTATTACAAATTTTATATTTGTATAATTATATAATTAAGAAATAAAATAAATAGCTCTTTGTGTCATAAGCTTTTTCCTAGTGAGTTTTTTGCTATTGTTGTTTTTGGATGTTTTTGATATTTTCACCTCAATTCAACAAAGAATTAATTTCGTGCACTGGCAAATACTCTTTCAGATGGACACAATAAATCAGGCAAAGAAACTATTACATAATCCTGGAATAGTGCACTCTCTATAACCCCCCAGAGCAAACACCACCAAGCTGGCAAAACTTTTAGCTTCCATTTCTGCTTTCAAACAATTCCCTAATTAACTGTTCAATTGACTAACCTACTCGACCTATACGGCTATTAGTATTTACCTCTATTTGGAGCCTTCTTCAACGACGAACTCATCTTGTTTTCATTTCAAAGCATTTTTGATTCCATACAGAATCACCTGGCCAGCACAGAAGGAATTCATCGTACTAACTGTCTAGTTGTCTTTTCACTTATCACAGGTACAAATTTAACCAATTATGCAATCCTGCCCTGAGTCCCAATCAGCAGGCATAATTAGCTTGAGAGAGGTTAAACCCCAGGTGTTTGTCCTAATAAACTTTGGCAAATGAAAAGTAACTTACATAAATTCCTTTGATCATTTTTAAATTGACTGATAGATATGTTAATACCTTTTAAGATTTCTTTTGCTACTGCTTGAACACAAAAATCTGCTCCAACTGTTTAAAGCACTTTTTACAAGTCAAAATAAACAGTCATCCTGTCTACATAATTTACAACTTTTTTCTCTTTTTGTCAATTTTGGGAAGTTTATGTCTCTCATGACTTTCCCTGTATTACTCTAGGTTCTAGCCATAATTACATTCATTTATTATTCAAAATTTTAACGCATAAACAAAAAAGGGGGAATTAAGGATTAAGTGCTCAGGAACAAATTATACTTTAAATCTTTTAAAAACAACTTATACTAAAAATTTAAAATTGTTCCTCTCAGTTTTTCCCCCTACCATATGCTTGAAAAGTATCTTAAAAAATAAATTTTATTAGCCGGGCGTGATAGTACACGCTTTTAGTCCCAGCACTTGGGAGGCAGAGGCAGGCGCATCCGCCAGCCTGGTCTACATAGTGAGTTCCAGGCCAGCTGGGGCTGCAGGGAGACCCTATCTCAAGGCACACCCAGAGGTGTTATGTAAGATGGATGGTCTTTTCATTTGCTACTAGAAGAAATGAAGTTGGGGCGTGGGGGTTGGTAGGAAAGAGTGGAGAGGTGGGGAAGAGGTCTGAATATAATGAAAATTCACTGTAGGAAATTCTTAAATCAATAAGACTTCTCTTAAACGTTAAAAAAAAAAAAAACAAAAAATCCAACAACAGACTTAAGAGCATGGAGAAATTTGCCTCACGCTACATGAGGAAGCCACCTGTGTTTGACTCTCACCCAGAGCATCCTCTCAATGTCCTCGCGACAGTGGGAAGAATGAGGTCTCCAATGACCTAGTGAAGGGTCAGAGTGGTGGGTGCAGACATCAAGAGAAATTGGAAGACAATGAGAACAGGCATGAGTAAAAAGTAGGGCTACACTCAATGCTAGGAAGGCAAAAGACTGGCTCTCCCCTCTGGATTTCCTAGGTTTCACAAAGCCAGTCAATGATCTTGCGAGGACCCAGGCCCACTTCTTTTACTCTCCTCCTATCCTGCAAGGCCACAGGACTGATCTTGCTTCCCTTAGGTGCACCTACACTGCCAGGATAATCATCTGTATGAATCCTACTTCGAGTGTCAACATCAGGGCTTCACAACCACCTGTGCTGGAAACCTGGAAGAGGATGCCATTACCCTATGCCTTGGCAGGCTCACCTTATCAAGGGCTAGTGACATACCACTGTCACTGCTGTTTCCATAAAGACAGGCAATTTTTAAAAAACCAAAAAACAAAACCAGACAATTTTTGATTTGTTTGTTTTCTGAGACTGGACCTTACTATGTAGCCCTGGATGGCCTGGAACTCAGAGATCCACCAGCCTCTGCCTCCCAATTGCTGGCATTAAAGGCATGCACCACAATATTTTTTCAAAAGAAAAAGAACAAGAAGCACTTACCAATAACAAAAGAACCTAGAGATGACCTGCGGTCACAGCAGTCTTTTCTGTGCACTGCTTAGCCTACAAAAAGACAGAAGAATGGCCTTCGTTACATGTTGACTGCTAAAGTGATATTCAAAAGGTGGCAATGTATATCCTACTAAGCCAACCTGAAGAGTGCACGGAAGCTATGATATCAGCTCTCAGGTCACTTCTGACATCCGAAGAAAGCATAGTAAGAAAAGTAGTCTCATCATTTGAAAAGTACATGCATGTATCTCAGAGCTGTTTTCAATAAAGAGGCAACTCTTAAGGAATAGTCCAGGTAAAGTCAGAAGCTAGGATCTCTTTTCTGTGGGAAAGACAACCATTCCCTTGGTGTCCATCTGTCGCCACCTTCCCTTCTCATCTATGCACTTGTGTGGCTGAAGTAGAACACATCCTGGAGTAGCGTCACAAGCTTCTTTGCTCTGCCTCTGGAATAGCATACCCTCTTTGCTTCTTGTATAGGTCAGTGGGAATCAGGTATGCCCACTCTGGCTGTACACAGACTTGGTGTGTTGGCATTCAAGAAACAAGGCCAATCACAGAGAATGTAGCCATATCTTAAGCCAGCCAGTATTTACCTATGGGTGAATGCAGACACTATAACCCCCCACCACCATACACACCCTCAACGTGTCCATTTGGTTCCAATGTTTGGAAAGCAGAGGTACATACAGAAAGAAAAATTACATCTGGTTCTCTCTGTGGGGAGGGTGGACAGCAGGCCATGGAAGGTAAGTGTACGTCACAGGTCATCCTGTAATGTTAAGGGCTATTATTTTCAGTAGGAGGAATCTCTATCTACTATTGCATCTTGTCTTTGTTTCTTCATTGCTGTGACAAAACACTCTGACCACTACCAACTTGGGGAGGAAAGGGTTTATTCAGCTTACATCTCCCAGGTCACAGTTCATCAGGGAGCCCAAGGCAGGAACTCAGGGCAGGAACCTGGAAGCAGGAGCTGGAGCACAGGCCATGGAGGGATGCTGCTTACTGGCTTGCTCCCCTGGCCCCTGCTCAGCCTGCTTTCTTATAGCAACACAGGCCCAAGGTGCTTGTGAAAGAAAAGAATATATCCATTTATCCACCATAAACACAAAATAAGATGTTATACTTGGTAAGTATATGCATACATATATGCAATCATTAATGTACGAAGGAATGACTGGGTGGGTGTTCGAGAGTACAACCATTGTATCATATAGGGCTGTACAATCACCGGGCCCTTCTCAAGGTCACCTGACTGTGTGAGGCCACAGGCTCCTTCTCCTGACCAAATGTCTGCCAACAAGGGCCAATCAATGGATAAGTGACCCTCTGATTCCTGTTGAGGTGAATCAGAACAATATGCTCCTTATCTTGCCACTTCATGTGTTCCATTAGTTCCTGCAGCCCCCACAATGGCAGACTCCCACCCAATGGTACTACTAAGTTCCTGAGCAGGATGACGCTGCTGGTTAAATGGGGTGTGGTTAGGTAAGAATGAAGACAAGGCCACATGATAATAGAGAAACATGTGGACTCATCCTACCTTAAGCTGTTAAACTCAACGTCTCTCTTGAAAGTAACAATTCTACGCCAAAGCACCGGACCTATAGAATATGCCCAAGTGCTCCAAGAAAACCTGAGGATCTATGAATAACATATTTGGAATGACAACTCTTAAGGAGATGGTGAAGTAATGATTAATCATCTATTCCTTTTGGTGTCTTCCCTTAGGTCTTTATGTTCCCTACACAGTTTAAAAGGAACACTACTTTACCCTGCATCACAACACAGTATACCCAAATCTAATGTCTGGATGGCTTTTGGGACCTGCCTTGGTCTTTTGTAACCATACAGGTTAGAGAAATAGGCCTGAGGATCATGATGTTTGACTTTTTTACAAGTTACTTTCTACTGCTGTGATAAAAACACTGACCAAACTAACTTGGGGGAGAAAGGGTATATTTTATCTTACATCTCCAGGTCATAGTTCATCACTGAAGGAAATCAGGGAAGGAACTCAGAGCAGGAACCTGGAGACAGGAACTGAAGCACAAACCATGGAAGAACACTGCTTACTGTCTTACTCTTCTGGCCTGTGTTCAGCCTTAGAGTGGAAAGAGAAGTCCACTCTTAGTCAAGGCCTGAGAGATTCTGAGACATGGGGTAAAAAAGATAAAATTGTAGAGAATACAAAACAAATATAGATTACTTACAAGGGTAGGCCATAGAGAAGACAAGTCCCCAGAAGAGACCTGGAATTAGTGGGAGGTGTTAGATCAGCTATAAAAATGTTGGAGGCAAGATACCCACAAACCCTTGGTTAGGTCTTCTACACAGATTCCAGCTAGTAGATCCAGACATAGCAACCACTTGACAACACAGTCTGTGCCTCTTGTAATGCACCCAGGACATCAAAAGGTTTGTGAGCCTGCAGGAAGCCCCTGCCCTACCCTGTTTAGACCGTCATTCAGCACACTACACCTCCGTGGGGGCAAAGGAAAAAAATAACCCCAGGGGGAAGTGCTGGATGGGTCATCAAGGCAATACCACCATCAAGCACTTGATAGCGATACTGCACCAGGAATGCCAGGCTCCCTTGGTCCCAGGTCCACTCCCTCTGCCCTTTGATGAGCAAAATAACATCAACCTGTTGAAACCAAATTCCAGGATGGCCATCTAGTATCTTGGCCATTGCTAACCAGAGGTGGGTCTTTTAGCCTCAGTTAAAGGATCTGACCTGGAGGCCATAGACTCTACAGGGTCCTCATTTCCATTGTACTGGACACTCCACTACCAGGGCTGGGGTCCCTTCAGGGAAATGGGATGATAACAGAGATCCTAAGGGAACCCCACCCACAGTTGGAAGATACGGGAGAAGCCTCAAAAACAAAACCATGGACATTGGGCCTAGGGGCTGAGCCCAGTTCAATCACTGCTGACTGGGAACATTCTTATTTGCATATTGGCACTGAACTCTCTATGGTAATCTTGGTTATGAGTTCACAGGCATTCTTTACTGAAAACAGCTATCAACCCTGTGGATGGCCTTGTACACTTGGGCAGACTCTACTCCTTCTTTCTAGGACGGGAAGTGATGACAAGCAAGGTCCCCACATCCCCAAACCCCAGGTCAGACTCCAGGGCAAAGAGCACCTCTCCTCCTTGCAAGACATGGACACCACAAGAACTCAGTGCCTGTGCTTCCGAGTCCCAGCTCTGGCCTGCCTCAAGAGCTTACACTGGCCCAGGCCACCATGAGTCACATGGACCCTGCCTTCTCCCATGTTCTGCAACCTTGCCTGTGCTGCTTGGAGAAATCTCTTGCAATCCTGCCAACCATGCCAGCCCAGTATCGCTTGGAAAAACAAAAGAAACTGTTTGCAGGATCAGCAAAGCAATTCCATTTGATAGCAGTATTGCACCAAGACTGTCAGGCTACCCCAGGCCCAGGTTCATTCCCTCTGCTTTTTGCTGAGAAAAAAAATTGCCAACCAGTTGCCTCCATGTTCCAAGATGGCCACCCCTTATCGTATCTTGGGCACTAGGTATCCATCTTGGAACATGGTGGAAATTTGCATGGCTTCTGCCTCCTCTCTTTTGGGCACCCTTCCATTCACCCAGGACAGAGGCTGCTTCTACATATATTTACCTTGAAGGACACTGTCTTCTGCTACACCCTCATACACACCCACTGAGGACACAGAAGGAGGGAGGGAGGAAGGAAAAAAGACTCCCGTGGAGAATGTGGGTGGGATCCCTAACCCCATGGACAGAAGCCAGAATATATAGGGGAGGGTGTGGTTATAGGTGTGAGGGGGAGTTGAGAAAATGGCTACACACCCTGTGAGTGGCCTTGTGCCCTTGGGCAGACTCTTCTTGCTGCTAGGAGGACAGAAAGCAATCACAAGCAAGTGTCTTACATCCCCAAGCCCCAAGTGCAGGCTCCAGGACAGAGAGCATCTCTCCTCCCTGCTAGACATGGCTGCTACAAGAACTCACAGCCTGCGCTTCCTGTAATGCATAGGACAAGCGCTCTGGTGCCTGGCCTGCCTCAGAAGCTTGCACTGCCCCAGGCCACAATGGGTCACCTAGACCCTGGCTTCTCCAGCCTACAGGAGCCCAGTGATGTTTGGACCAGAGTCCCCTGCCCCGCTTGTCAGCATTGCTTAGAAAAGCATAAGAAACTGTCGGTGGGATAAGCAAAGTAATTCTGCTTGATAGCAGTATTGCACCAAGAATCCTAGGCTTGGGGATGTAAGAAACTTGCTTGTGATTGCTTTCTGTCCTCCTAGCATGCTAAATGGAGAAAAGCCTCAAAGCAAACCAACTTAAAACAAGAGCAAGACAAGATTGTCCATTATCTCTATTCCTGTCTAAAATAATGCTTGAAGTCTTAGCTAGAGCAACAGGAGAAGGAAATGAATGTGATACAATTAAGCCAAGAAATCAAAGTTTCCTTATTTGCAGATGATATGATCCTATATATAAAAAACCATAGACTGCAATAGAAAACTCCTAGAACTCATAAAAGCTTTCAACAAAGCATCAGTATACAAAATAAAATCTGTAGCCTTTCTATATACTAATGACAAACATACTGAAAAAGAAGCCAGGGGAAAAAAACCCATGGAAAGAATCAGATGACAGGTACTGCAAATCTGGCCAAGAACCCATGGTTGGGGAGCTCATAGGCGCCAGGATTCTGGTAAATGCCCTCTAAATTCATCTCTCTCTCTACCCATAGACTAGTGCAGCTCTCAGACTTCATCAGAGAAGTTTCTTTGTGCAGTAGATGGTGGTTACCATAGAAACTCCCAACTGGTCAAAGTGCAGAGAATAAGTATCAGTGGAATGCTCAGCCACAAATTGGTCATCTATATCACCCTCCAGCCCCCCAACAAGGATCACCATGGAAGTGGAGGTAGAAAATGTAAGAGCCAGGGGTTAGGGAGGATGGGACTGAAACAGTCTTCAGGACATTACAGGAACGCTGCATTCATGAACTCACAGTAGCTGTGGTTGCTTGTACAAGATCAAGCTAGTCAGCA